CAGCTTGCTGTAAGTTATCCTCGTGATGATGGATGGCTCAAAAGGGTGCTTTCTAGACTGTGGGAAAACTGTCAGGGCATCATCTAGGCTGTTTGTACAGCATAGCTGAGTAAGTTGTTGTAAAACTATCATTTTAAATATAGTACTTCTTTGAGTATACTGACAAATTTTCAGTATTTGAAAAAGTAATGGGGCCAGCACCACAACATAATACATTAAGCCTCCACCTTCAGTGCTGGCATCTCATATGGGCGCTAGTTTGAGTCCCAGCTGCTCCACTTCTAATCTAACTCCCTGTTTATGGCCTGGGAAAGCAGAAAATGGTCCAAAGCCTTGGGACCCTGCACTTATGTGGAAGTCCCTGAAGAAGCTTGTGGCTTCAGATGGGCTCAGGTGCATCCATTGCTGTCATCTGGGGGGTGAAGCAGCAAATGGAAGGTGTCTCTGCCTCTCCCTTTCCCTCTGTAAACCCACCTTTCAAAATAAATAATTTTCTTTAAGGAAGGAAGGAAAAAGAAGGGAGGGGGAGGGAAGGAGGCAGAGTGGGAGAGAGGAAAGGAAGGAAGAAGGCAAGGGAGGGAGGAAAAGAAAAAAAGAAAATTTGGTAAAAACGTGAGGCTGAGCAGCCCTGGCATACACATGTCTTTATAGCAGCAGTTCCCTCAAGCAGGAGCCAGCTGAAGGCAAGAGCTCACTTTGGATTGAGTTTTCAACTTAGTCAAGAGTCAGTGATTCTGACACTCAGGGTTGCAAAGTTTCAGCATTTTATAGGCTAGCGCTCTCAAGAGCCAGATTTAAATTTAGAGAACTTTCTCCTCATGGAGGGTCGATAACCCCAGCTGAGAGCCCTGGAAGCCCTGGATATGACATCATGTTCTTTTTTTTTAACATTATTACTTTTTAATTTTATATCATTTTATGACAGAGTTTCATAGGCACTGGGATTCCCCCAGCCCCTTTCCAAGCCCAACCCCATGTTGAATTCCTCCATATTGTTACAGTGGTACAGATCATATCCTGTCATGATTCCTTCATTGTGGGCATGGACCATGCAGAGAGACTAGCATCTTATTGTCCAGATAAATTCAACAGTTTTATTGGGAGGCCATCCCTGGTCTGAAAGTAGAGCTGGTAGAATATCATCTCCTCCAATGAGATGTCACTACACAACTTCAACAACAGGAAGAAACATAGAAATTAACCACATCATGAAGTCAATCAACATGGTATTGAGTGACTAACATGTTAGAAAATGCAAGTTCTTAACCACATCCTGTAACTACTTCCTTGACATCTCAATTTTAGTATATACACAACCAGCTGCTATAAACCATTTTTTTTCTCCCAAGCTAACATGTTTTTGAGTTTAACTTAAATCAGAGTGGCACAGAACAGTGCAAGCATCTACATTAACATCCATCATATATATAACAGCTAAGTACAAACTTAACATCAAAGTTTTTATACTGTTACATCTTGTTTAGCATTAATAGTCATAAATTGATAGAATTTTTGAGGGGGGAAGAAAATTAAGCCACAATTTAAACTTTGCAGTATATAGTGATTAAGCATGGCTTTACAGAACTTTGCATTTTAACAATTGAAGAATAGAAAAGTTTTAGGCAGGTGAGCAGGGAAGTCCCCAACAGCCCAGTGAGTGAGGAAGAATTTAACTCTACATCCTACCTAGTAAAGTCAAGGTTTTCCTAGTAAAGTCCAGCAGAGGCAAATAAGGAGCCTGACCAGTAAGTACAGGCTGAGCATTTATAGGCTAGTTGGCCTTTTCCCTGGCTGTTCCAGCCTTCCTATATCTTTATCTATGTCTCTGTCTATCTGAAAAGCCAGATGGGAAGCCTGATCAGTGAGGTCCAAGCTGCGTGATTATCAACTAGCTGACCTTTATTAGTCTCTATCTGAACTAATTTTGGGGCTCACAAGCAACCCTGATGGTCGGTGTAAGAGAGGCCTGGGAGCCAAGGCTAGAATAGATAAGAATCAGAGAAAGCTCCTCTCCTGAGCCCAATAGGAGATATACAATCCTTTTATCTCTGAGTACCACCCGGGGCTCCTGGCTGCAGTTCTGATGTCACCAGACCCTATAAGAGGATTTGGGGCTGCTACCATACTGTGTAGGAAATCCAATAGGAAATGCCTGACTCCAGAGTTCTCAGCCTCGGAGGGCATTCATATTCCCTGTGATCTCCTAGGCAGTCGGGATACGGTTCTCCGTGTCCATACTGAAACATCATGTTCTAACTATGAGGCTTCCTGAAGAGTTTATTAACCAAGAAAAACGGTAAAACGCATGTTCTCCCTTGGCTTCCTGGTGACTCTCACCTAGAGCACAATGAGAACTGCCCTGCATTCTCTCTCCATTCTCTCAGCTGCTCTCCCAGCACAGCTCACTGGTCCATTTGCATAAAACTGACTTCTGTGCTCTTCATCACCATCTCTCACACCTCCAAGGCCCACAAGCAAAAACCTCTGTTGCATCCCTTCTCTCCACTCCCCCACCCCCAGTTCCAACTGAACTCTCTTGGTCTTCCTCACTTGAGCCACATCTCCCACCCTGTTAACAGTGCTCTTTTCTGCATCTCCACATATTGGTAGCTTTGTTGCCCTGCCTTCTCTTTCTGATCTAGCTTATAACTCTCTGCTCCAGCTCCACGTGCGCTGACTCAAGCTCCATCCTTGTCACCATTCTCGCGCCCTGAACAACTGCAGGCCCATGTCTGAAAGGCTGCCAGGCACAGACATGGTGAGTGCCTTCTTGTTCCTTTTTTTTTAAGAATTATTTTTATTATTTTTTTATTGGAAAGGCGGATATACAGAGAGGAGAGACAGAGAGGAAGATCTTCCGTCCGATGATTCACTCCCCAAGTGAGCGCAAAGGCCGATACTATGCCGATCCGAAGCCAGGAGCCTCTTCCGGGTCTCCCACGCGGGTGCAGGGTCCCAAGGCTTTGGGCCGTCCTCGACTGCTTTCCCGGGCCACAGGCAGGGAGCTGGATGGGAAGTGGAGCTGACGGGGTAGAACTGGCGCCCATATGGGATCCCGGGGCGTGCAAGGCAAGGACCTTAACCACTGCGCCATCGCGCCATGTTCTTAAGGATAGTACGGCACCTGTCACTCTCCCTCTTCCCTCAAGAAATTCCTAAGATACTCTATTTCAAGTCTGGGAACATTAAACAGGAGGAGGTAAGAATGTTTCCAGACTAGTTAACTCCACCTAACTTCCCACAATGCACACATATTGTAAAACAGCATGTTGAATACCATAAACCTACACAATTTATGCTTGCAAATTAAGACTATTGTTTCAAAGATTGCTTTGCAAGGTTGCTGTTTAGAGCGAAATGAGGGGCAAACCAGTCTTCACCAGCAACAAGGCACCTCTCCAACACCTACTCATCACCCACTCTACAGCCAGGCCCTGAAGCTTCTACTACACTGCAGGGATTCTGAGTCAAGCAACAGTTCTCTCCACGGCACCGAGGAAAGTAGTTGGGTCCAAATGGCTAGCCTCCGGGAGATGCTGGACTCTGTGTAGAATCCACGTGCGAGTCTGGTCTAGGTTCCGTCCCCAAGTATTTGTAAATGCACAGACCCTCTGCTGGAGACTTGACAAAGCCCACAATCTCAGGCCTTTAAGGCCTCAGGATGCCAGGGCATAAGGGTACTCTCCAGGCAGAATTGGCAATTAAAATTCATACAGCATCCTCAAGTAATTCACAATTTCAGATCAACAATGAATAAACAATAGAAAGTCCAAATGCAGGCCTGGCATGGTAGCACAGTGGCTAAATACCTCGCCTTGCACACGCCCGGATCCCATATGGGTGCTGGTTCTAATCTTGGCGGTCCCACTTCCCATCCAGCTCCCTGCCTGTGGCCTGGGAAAGCAGTAGAGGATGTCCCAAAGCCTTGGGACCCTGCACCTAAGTGGGAGAACCCGAATCAGCTCATTGCGGCTGCTCGGGAAGTGAATCATAGGACAGAAGATCTTCCTCTCTGTCTCTCCTCCTTTCTGTATATCTGCCTTTCCCACAAAAAAATAAACCGGGCATGGCATGGTGGCCTAGTGGCTAGGGTCCTCACCTTGGGATCCCATATTGCTGCCGGTTCTAGTCCTGGCAGCTCCACTTCCCATCCAGCTCCCTGCTTGTGGCCTGGCAAGGCAGTGGAGGATGGCCCAAAGCCTTGGGTTCCTGCACCCACATGGGAAACCCGGAAGAGGCTCCTGGCTCCCGGCTTCAGATCGGCGCAGCACCGGCCGTTGCAGTCACTTGGGGAATGAATCATCGGATGGAAAATCATCCTCTCTGTCTCTCCTCCTCTCTGTATATCTGACTTTGCAATAAAAATAAATAAATCTTTAAAATAAATCGTTTTTAAAAAGCCCAAATTTAACATACTTACACTAAAAAAAATGTTGATCTGAAATTCAGATTTGCACAGGTATTTTCACTCCATTAGTTAAATCCACAGGACACTAAGATGCTCCCAGGTTTGAAAACCCTTTCTGTCTCTTTCAACATGTGCATGACTAAACACCTCATCAGTCATATCGTTTTCCACTCTCCTTCTTGGTCCCCACCTAGAGCTGACTTTAACATCATCCACAGGCTCCTCCTGCAGGAAAGCCTGAGTTGGCAAGAGGACAACTATAAGGGCACGTAGCTGAACCCAGCTCCAGGAGATGGCACAAGCAAAGAAACTCGGCTGGCTGCCTGCATCTGACCTCCTGTCAGAGCAGCCTGGCTCTCCCCAACAAGACTGTTTTTCAGACTTAACACTTTGCCAAAATTATCTGCAGGGCATGAAATAGGAATTCTAACAGTTTTATAAACCCTTGGGTTTCCCAAGCAAGAACCATTCATGCCAGGAAATTAGCAAAGGGTTATTCTGGACTTTTGTATGCACCAGGCCATCTTTAATAATCCCTTACAAGATGAACTCACAGTCAAGGCTAAAGAATGCATCCTTAGAGAACAAAAGCTCAGACTAAGAAAGGTTTTATTTTTAAGACAAAACAAGTAGCATTAACATACATCCAAATGCCAATGCAAGACTTCACTGGGTTTTATAAAAGAGAAAACTACTCTCCAGCATTAAGTAGAAACTAGAGCCACTGAAAAAATGACCAGTGCTTCTGGTAACATGGTGCAGCGTGTGCTTGTCTAAGAAGTTGTGCGGTGTGCATCTACGTGAAATACATGACAAGAGCAGAGCACGTCAAAAACGGCAGGCAGGCAATGCTTTAAGACCCTTCTCTCCCCTGCAGTGTGCGCTTGTTCTGCTTTTGAGAACTAAACAAATCAGCAGGTCACTTTGTAAAGAGTATGAAAATCAAAGAACACTTTCAAAGCCTGGAACAGATTAGAGGTCATAACTAAAGCTACACATGGAGTTCAGTGGGGAGAAAATAGTTTGCATTCTCCAAAAGCCAGATTTTACACAATGACAGGCACTAAACCAGTTAGGTGTGCTTGCAGTAGAAAAGACGCCACGTAGCTCAGTAAAGACTGGTCTTCTTCATGATGCGAAGAAACTCCTGCTCATTGACTTCTCCATCTCCATCCCGATCAGCTTCATCAATCATTTCCTGCATGACATGAAGGATTCAGAAAGCATCAACTAATAAAATACACAAAAAGGAGACTATATAATAGGATTTTACCACTGCTAAGCAAACAGACAACTGCAGTCCATCCAAAACATTACAATGACTTAGCTCCCACAAAGTTATTTGAAAGCCAAGTCATATTTTGTCATATGTGTCACCTACAAGGAAGCTTCAAGAGCTTGGCAAGAGGCCCCACCCCAAACCCTAAAACAGTAAGTAAAACTTGGAAACAAGGTCATATGTTTGTCAGACTATCAAGGAAATACTATGTCGCCAGCAAATGGACAAGAGTATAATAGCTTTCTTTAAAAGAAGTTTTCCTAGCAGAGAAAATGAAATACGGAAAAAGTCACAAAGGAACCAAAAGTGCAAAATCAGAGTTCCAGTGTAACAGATGACAAACCTGCAGCTCCTCATCAGTCAGGTTCTCACCCAGCTCCCTGGCCACACGTTTCAGATTTGTGAACGATATCTTCCCGGTTTCATCATCATCAAAGAGCTTGAAAGCTTTCAGGATTTCTTCTTTGCTATCCTTCTCAGACTGAAGAGGCAGAACACAAAACTCATTAGCAGGGAAACACCATGGTGACTCGAGTTTCACAGCCGCACCACTGCCCAGTCACTCCTTCCCTTACAATGGTGCAAGTCAACAAGAGAAAGAACACAATTCGTGGCAACTGCTGTAGACAGCCAGGAACCTGACACTGCAAATTGAAATACTAACCCAAGATACTGCTGAGTGGCTTTGTTCAGAGTTTCCCCCAGTTCCAACACTAAAGAAACCAGGGGACTCAACACTCCATCCTGTACCCACCTCTTCTGGGTGATGACCTTTATACCACAGGTCAACTATCACTCAAGTTAGAAAGAAGATAAATTGAGTAAGATTGTTATTACAAACACAAAAACTTAAACAAGAAAATAGAAAGGAACCCACTCTAAACACTCTACACAAACCATAGAGAAGCTTGATCAGTCTTCAAAATATGGGAGCTATGGGTAGAGTTAAAATTAGAGAATGATGCAGCATTTGGTGCAGCATTTAAAGTCACCACTTGACATGCTTGCATCCTGCAACGAGCGCCTGGTTTCTAGTAATGGCTCTGCTTTCAATTTCAACTTCTTTTTTTTTTTTAAGATTCATTTATTTATTTATTTATTACAAAGTCGGATATACAGAGAGAAGGAGAGACAGAGAAGGAAATCTGTCCGATGATTCACTCCCCAAGTGAATGCAACGGCCGGTGCTGTGCCGATCCGGAGCCAGGAGCCAGGAACTTTCTCCAGGTCTCCCGCATGGGTGCAGGGTCCCAAGGCCTTGGGCCATCCCCAGCTGCTTTCCTAGGCCACAAGCAGGGAGCTGGATGGGAAGTGGAGCTGCCGGGATTAGAACCGGCGCCCATATGGGATCCCGGCATGTTCAAGGTGAGGTCCTTAGCCACTAGGCCACCATGCCGGGTCCCAATTTCAGCTTCTTGATGATGTGTATTCTGAATGTAAAAGATGATGGCTCAAGTAGTTCTGTCCTCTTTACCCATGTGAGAGAGCCAGGAGGAGTTCTGGACTCTGGACTTTGACATGGCTCCACCACAACTGCTGTAGACTGTCCAAGCAATGCACATACTCAGTCTCTCTCTCTCATTCTCACATTCTCTTCCTCTTTCTCTGCTTTTCAAATAAGTTGAATCAATCGATAAAATTATCAAAATGCTTAAGCTGGTGTGACAGGCATCCTCAATGAGAGAAAAGACAGGACTATTTTAGTGATTAGTTCACAGGGAGTTACTGGGGTCCCAAGTACTTTAACAGAAGAGCAACATAACCGAAACAATTAAATCCCAAGAATTCCTAAAACACATGTGCCAATAGCACAAGATAGAGGCTTAATTAAAACAATGTATGAACCAACTTCAAATGTAGCACAGCCTGACCAGGTGTGAAAGAATGCTGAGTCTCCTCATCTCTTAAATCAGTTCCAAAAGAACTCCGTGCGTTGCGTTTAGATCATTTTAAAACAGGGACAGAGGTATGGAGGAGTGACCTGTGTCCTGAGAAACATACCTAGGGCATTCATGGGTTGCCGTTGCTATGGGCGAGGGGAAGAAGGAACATGAGCCACACTGATGAGCCAGGAGGCCAATGAAAGCTCACAGCTTTGCTTAAGTATTGTTGGCTAGCTTGGCGGGGTGCAAGCTTAGATTCTCTCCTTCTTTGGATCCTTTACCAGGGTAACACTTGAGCGACAGGGAAATGGGTCAATGCAACCTTGCAAACACGAAAGAACCATGTCTACACTGCAGCAGAAAGCATGGCTGAAGGCACTGCTCCTCAGGTTGAGCTGCCCAGAATAAAAACTGAAGAGAATCATTTCTAACTTTAAAGTATACAGACCTTGTATTGTCAGAATAAGAAGCAATTAAAAATCATTTGTGTTTCCTGCTTGTGGTTATGACAAAGACTTATCAGCTGGAACAGGACTGTAGCAAAATAAATGACAACGGTGATAGCACTTGTCTGTGGCCTTGAAGAAAGCCACAGAAAATTCAGATAGGCTAAATCTCAGTCAAAAATGCTATCTTCTATCAGGCGAGCTCTCCTATTTTCACTAACTTGACTCCAAAGACTTCGCTTTTCCATCTATACTGACATGATTCATCACTGGGAGAAAAAAAATCTGCTGCCTGCTATCTCACCATTTTCTGCGTCATCACCGTCAAAAAGTCACTGAAGTTCATTTTTCCTGAGCCTTCTTTATCAATTTCACTTATCATTTTCTTGATTTCTTCTTTCTTGGGTTCAAAACCCAGGGCCCTCATTGCCACCTGCAAGGAAACAGGAATGTGTCAATATGCAGACTTAAACCTGGCAGGAGCAAAAATAAGTGTTCAGAAAATTAAGCTAGCATCTGTTTACAATAATGGTAAAATGACTGGGGAACAAACACTGATCTAGCTGATATTTACAATCAGTTTCATTTTGTAATAGTGGTGTAACTAAACACAGGACAACAGATCACAAAATACCCTTCCCTGTTACTTTCTGCAGGAAGGAGAGCAAAAGTGGTAGAACAGTGTCAATGGGAGAACAAGAAAGAAGCAGGACAGAGGCCAAGCAGCATGGCAACAACATGCAGCCTTACCTTGAGTTCTTTAACGTCTATGGTCCCAGTTCCATCAGCGTCAAAGAGGTCAAAAGCTTCCCGGATTTCCTGCTTCTGCTCTTCTGTAAGCTCGGGCTTAGGACTCATCCTTTTTCTCTGGGCACTGGATGCTACGTTTGCCTTCTTAAAGTTAGAGGCCTGTAGACATTATATGAATACATGAACACACTGTTATGTAATACCCACGGTGACAGCCACCTGCATCTCCTTCAAAGCAAATCTGTACTAACCTATCCCGAATTTCTGCTTAGCAAGAGACATAATGGAGCTTATTGCTTTTAAGAACAGAATCTTTCCATGAAACACTGTCCCTTCCTTTTAGTACTGTTTTTACAAGCAGAGATCCCTTGCAGTTCTCGCGCAGCAGCCCGCGTTGGATAGGTAACTGACTGCAGGTAGGCAGCCTCCCTGAGTGCAGCAACAGCCACCAGACTCTCACTTTGCTTCTAATTTGCATGAAGATTATTAGCTTGGTTAGATAACTACCTTGTCTGCATCAAATAATTAAACTCAAACATATTTGGTACATTTATTTCTTCTGCAACATGCGCAAAGCATCTCTGGAATGCCCTATATTTAAATTGCAAAACACGTCTTAATAATCAAAACAGCAAAGCTCTTCCCAGACCGGGATCCGAGAAAGCCAAGACCTGGAAGGGGCTGGAACACTTTTTTTGTTTTGCTTTGCTTTTTTGTTTTTTGGGTTTTTTTGGGGTTTTTTGTTTTGTTTTGTTTTGTTTTTGTTTTGCCTACGGGGCCCTCAAGGGGAGTAGAAAAAGGCAGTGCTCCAGTGACGGGTCGAGGCCCGCCGTGGGTGTCGGGGAGGCAGCGAGAAAACATAGGCCCGACAGGGCGGCTGCCGTGTGTGCCCTATCCTTTCGGGAACGAACATAAAGGTAGGAGCAGTGCGTCAGAAAAGCTAAGCAAGGCGCAAGAGAGGTGGCGTAGCGGGGTTGGGGCCCACGAAGGCTTAGTCCTGGGGCTCAAGGCGGGACAGGGTGGCCAGCACTCACCATAGCCGACGCACTCCGCTGCCCGTTGTTACGGCAACCTACGTACTCAGACTCGGCGCCATTCCCACCTCCCCGCGCGCGCGGCCCTGCTCCCAGTTGGCCGCCGGCTCGCCTCCGGCACTCCCTATTGGCTTAGGGCTGGAGTGGGTAGGGCTAACCTCGCCAAGCCCGGGCCTGGACGCGCGCGGTACGTTGAAGGATGAGACCTCGCCTCATAGGGCGATATCACACCGCGAGCACCTATTGGCTGAGGCGCCGCCAGGCCTAGCCAATCCCCTTGGTGGAGGAAGCTCTGCTGATCCTCGGCTCACAGAGGCGGGGGGAAGAGGGGGCGGACTTTCTCAGGCTGAGTTTGGTGCTGGTGGTGGGTTAAGAGGTCGACCGCGGGACGCCAACGGAAAGCAAGGTAAGAATTGTCGCCTTGCCTTTGGAGGCTAGCCACCTATGTCTGCGACTGGCAGGGCGGGTGAGCGAGAGAGTAAAGCAGGAGGACTGGGTGGGGACGGTTTCTGAGCTAGCCTAGGACTGGGCTAGGAACAGCGTTGTCAGAGACCCTAGGAGACTGTGTGACCTGCCTGTGGCAGCAGGGACTGTACTCATTGGATAGTTGAGACCACGGCAAGGGCAGGGGCATGCTGAAGGACGTCACAAAGCGTGTGACAGCTGGCACATAGACTGGCTGTTTGAGAGTATCCCTGGGCTTGAAGCAGATGAATGCAGCACACCGCAGGAGCAGCCCGGGACGGTGAGTCAGGGTCCTTTGACAACGGACTTTGAAAGACGCGATACTCGTCTCATAGCCTTCTTTCCTTATTTGGTACCTAAACAGCCAGGCAGCCAGAGAGGAGCACTTCGAGCCAAAACATCCTTGTGTGAAAAGTCACAGGAGTTGTGGAAGAAGGATTCCCAGGATGATGGCTGAAGTGGAAGTGTGGGAGCAGAGCTGGAGGATCGAGATGGACCCTCCTGGCGGACTGTGCGTGGCTCAGTCTTCCCCACCTCTTCTCCACCATTGACACTGGTTTAAGGAGGCAGAGAACAGGGCAGAAACTCCCTAGGACACCTGAAGTTGAACAGCCGCCCTTTACCCTCTTGCTCTTTGAAAGTAGGGAACTGGGTTCAAAACTTTATGTTCAGATTTCAGTCTTTCCCTGCCTCCCTCTCTAGCCTCCAAGTCTGATCAGTTCCGCCCATTACAAACCATTCCTTTTGTCTTTGCCCGCCCAGTTGCTCCTCCAATTCTGGCATTCATTATTCACCTCCCGTGTAGTCCTGGGAGGACATCCCACCATGGTCTCACACCCTGCCATGGTATGCCCTCTCTGTTCCCCAAAATGTTCCCCTTTCCCCTGGCTCCCACCAGGATGTGCCTCGAACTTTTGCACCTGCTGTATCCTCTTTCTGCTGATCCTACATCACTTCCTCTTGCTAGTCTTTGTTCTGCTTTTCCGGTGAGGCCACCTGAAGCACCCCATTTGGTACTGCCCTCTCAGTACACACTGTGCTCTCATCTACCATGTTCGTTGCCACTTCACTAGAAAGCATGCTTCCCGAGGGCAGGCGTCGGTGTCCTCATCACTGCGGGTGCTTCAGGGCCTGCTTCAGAGCTGGAGCACAGAGCAGCGTGCTTGAGTGACTGGTGAGAAGGCTCCTGTGCCCCCAAGTGAAAAGCTGCCATAAACAGCTCTGATCAGCTCAACCACTGCCCTTAAACCTGCAGAGGCTGTCCACATCTCAGCTCGAGCAACCTTTTTGATCGGAACGCCCACTTCTGCCTACCACTTCCGGTGGCACACAGTCTCTGCCTGTTTTGGACTTTGCTTCCAGTCTTGCTTCAGATTTGCTGTAGCACAGTTTTGTCACAGTTAGCAGAACGTGCTGGCTCTGTGGTGCTGCTTGCTCCCCAGCCCTTGCCGTGGAGTGTCACACACCTGCACCCTGTCTCACTCACCTGACGTGGCGGCCTGCACTGGCGCTCAGGACTCCTTTTGAACACCGAAATGCGTGCTGGCTTCTCGCTGCTGTATCTCCTGCAGCTTCTGCCTGGCAGTGGCTGAAATCTGGGGTGCTAAACAAGGAAATGAGCAAATGAATGGATGAATGAGGTGACACTCGGATGTTCCTTTACCATTTTCCTTCCCCTGCCCTGGCCCAGTGACTTGTTTGAGCCTCGCAGCAGCTGTGACAGAGACACAGGACGGATGCTGTTCTGAGCATCTGCAGGCTCATGGCCTAGTGGGCCAAGCTGGGAGTGAGGACAAGCATCCTCGTGTGCTCAGTGTTAGGGCAGCAGCTCAACATTCCTGGGAAGAGGCAAAAGGCTTCACTGACGGACAGGGGAGCCAGGCCTCGAGGGAGGAGGAGCTCACTGTGGACAAGGGCCAGGAGGTGTGCCAGGTGGAGGGAGCAGTATGTGCTAACCTCACAGGCATGCCGAGGAGCTTCCAGGTGGCCTGCCGCCAGTTCACACAAGCACATGGCTGGTCTGAAAGGACAAGGTGGAGCTGCATTGCCCTGGCATGGTAACGGCTAGACTGAGGCCTCAGTGATTCGAACCTGTGTGTTTTATCTCCATTATTGCATCTGTGACTTCTCAAAGAGATAGCTTACTTAGGTTTCTATAGGACACCTGCTTTGCAGTGTTTTCTCAAAGAAATGTATCCATGATGGAACTATGTGTCTGTATCAGGCAATTCCTACTCTTTCTACTAGATTTCCAGCCCCCGTCTTCTGCAGGCTTAGTTCCTGACACCAGGAACCCAACAAAACATCTGAGAAATGTTACTTTGCTTTCCATGCTTAGCCAAACACTACAGCTTGGGTGATTTGGGGGAAGCATATCTTGCTTGGTATCTGTCAGCTTTTCCCTGGTTAGGTCCAAGTTGTCTGTTCACAGCCCAAAATGATAAGCTTTTGATGGCTACATCCTGGCTTCCAGCATAGCACTACATGGAAACTGGGGTTGCACAACCTCTTCCTCTATAAAGAAGGAGGGAGCGCCCTTGTTCCTCAGGGTCTGCTTTGGTTCGCTGGTACTGAGTAGGTGCAAACTTGCCCCAGGTGAAAGAAAGAGGAAACAGGGCTCACCCAGTTCTCTGTTCATCAAATCCTGTTAGCAAGCCTCTTCCTCCCATCAGGCATGGAACAGGAGCTTGGGTTTCACCAGTAGAGCATGGCATAATATTCCAGTGTACACAGTAGGTACAGATATGAATTTTTACTGCAGCTTATCATGCTAAAAGAAAATGACTTGAAGAGGCTTTGGATGTGTGAATCTTAACAGTCCACCAGCCCCTACAGTATTGTTCTTTGTAGTCGTCGTTTCAGTAGTTCAAAGGTAGTCTTCTGTACTAGAAAATGTACCATCTTAACTCTTTTTAGGTGGGTAGTTCAGTGGCATTAAGCACATTGACACTGTTTCACAGCCATCTGTCTCCAGAAAGCATCATCATTCCCAACTGAAACTCTGTCCCCATGAAGCAGTAACTCCCCACCCCTCGCCTAGCCATAACACCCACCGTTCAGTTGTTTCTATGAATTTGCCTCCGTGGTGAGTTCAGTCCCTCTGTGCCTGGTTTATTTCACTGAATGTAACTCCCTCTGGAGGGGCAGGGGGTTGGTGCAGCAGAGAACCACATCCCGTGTCACAGTGCCTGCGTTTGAGTCCTGGCTCTACTCCTTTCTTTTGTTGTAAAGATCTGTTTATTTGAAAGGTAGAGTTACAGAGATAGGGAAGGAGAGACAGAGTTTTTCAATCTGCTGATTCACTCCTCAGGTGATCACAGAAGCCAGGTCTGGGCCAAGCTGAAGCCAGGAACCAGAAACTTCTTTAGGATCCGTCACATGGGTGGCAGGAAGGAGCCTGAGGATTGGATCATCTCGCACTGCTCTCCCAGGGTCATTAGCAGGGAGCTGGATCAAACGCACAGCAGCTGGGAGTTGAACTGGTACCCCTGTGGGCTGCCTATACCGCAGTTAGTGGCTAAACTTAGCCACAGCACCAACATTGACTGCACCCTCAGTTGCAGCTTCTTGCCAGTGCACACACCCTGGGAGGCAACGGGTGATGGCTCAAATACTTGGGTCCATGTCCCCTCTGTGATAGACTTGGATTGAGTGCAAGGCTCCTGACTTCAGCCTGGCCCTTCCCTGCCTGTTGTGGACATTTAGAGAATGAACCATGAAAGATTGATTTCTCTCTCTCTCTCTTCTCTGCATTTCTTACTTTCAAATGAAGTGATAACAGATTTTTTTTTACAAATATCTGTAAGGGTCATCCATATTGTCACACATGTCAAAATATTCTTCCTAAGTTGAATAATACTCCACTGTACAAATGGACCCTGTTTTTATCTATCTAGTCATCTATCATTGGGCATTTAGGTTGTATTACCTTGTTGGCTAAAGCAAAGGAAACTGCTATGTACATGAATGCACAAATATCTATTTAAGAAATTGCTTTCAATTTGGAGGGGGAAGAGAGAGATATATACCCAAAAACTGAAAGTGAAATTGCTCGATTATAGGGTAAGTCTATATTGAATTTATTTTAAAATCAGAGCTGTAGTCGGAGAGGGAGTGCAGGATGGCTCTCACTTAACTCAGCAGGGGAGTGCTATGTTCTGTTATGCTCTGCTCATCCCACATCATTATCCTGGGGATGAGCATCACATGCATTTCACTGCTGCAAAGGAAAGTGACTGGAAGTGGAGTTCAGGACTTCACAGGCCTGCCCTGCCACCATGTATGTGGGACCACAAGAAAAATTGATAGTAGTTGAGAGAGTGGGGATAACGGAGTGCAACAAAGGGTATACATGTTGAAATGGATGAATAAGGTTATTTGCCTGACTTCCCTTTCTACCTCTAATCCAAGAATCTGGTAAGTTGTAGGCCCAGCAGTGCCTCTTTCTAAGGGAGCAGCCTACATCACTGAAGTAGCTGTGTGCTGTTTGAGTGGGGAATGGCATCCACCTAGATCGCTACCAGCTAAACACGTGTTGGGTTATACCTCATTCATGTTTCTCTCTATACATGTATTTCCCAAGAGAAAATTTGGTTGCCAGCACCACCATATTTTCAGCTAAAATG